ACTGTATTGAATAGCCTCAGTCTAGATCATTGTGTTTATAACTATGGGTGATAACCCATTAGCTGATTATAGCCTGTGTTTTTTCAAAATAAAATAGAATGAAAATGCCAAGAGGTATTACTTATAGTAAGTGTTATCTTTTATTCACAAAACTTTGGTTTTAGTCTTTTACTGGTATTTCTGTCTACTAGGCTGCTATAACAATGTGTGGGTCACACATAGTATTTTAGTTTTTCAGTTTTTTAGTTGAGAGCCACTGATCTAGTGCTGGTAGTGCCCGTATTTATGCATTCAACCAAGAACTGAAACCTTAAGTTATATTTATCTATTCTCTTGATGCCTTAGCCCAGATGTCTAGTAGACATCTCATATCTATAAATCTTTCCCCCCTTCAGTTATCCCCTGTCTCAGCAAATGCCACTGCCTTTCCTCTAGTAACTTCTGACAAAGTTCTTAATTCCCATTCTCCTTTCCCCACTGCACTCTACCCCCATTCAGCCCACCAGCAAGGCCTTTTGGCTCTGCCTCTGAAATGGATCCCAAATCTATCCACTGATTTCCATTTCCGTTTCCATCAACTTAACCCAAGACACTGGCATCCCTTGCTTGGACCATTGTAATAGCTCCACACTGATCTCTCTTTCCCGCTTGTCTTCATAAAGCCCATTCTTCATAAAACACAGCAGCCAAAGGGATCTTTTATTTTTTATTAGTTAAGGTATTACAAATGTGTCCTTATCTGCCACATTAACCCCCAACCTCTCCCCCCTCCCCCCGCACACTCATGCTCCCATCTCCCTGTTGTCCATGATAATTGGTTTGGCTTATATACATGTATACAAGTCCTTCGGTTGATCTCTTCCCCTTACCCACTCCCTCCCCTACTTTCCTTCTGGGGATTGATAGCCTGATCGCTGTTTCTCAGTCTTTGGATCTGTCCCAAAGGGATCTTTTAAAAGCCCAAACCAGATGATGCTCTTGTCCTTGAAAGTGGCTGGTGACTTTGCATTGCACTGAGAATGATCTCTCATCATCTCACTGTGGCCAACAAGGCCCTAGCATCTCTACCAGGGCTCCCACCATGCTGACCTTGGCTTTCCTTTGCCAGGAAGGCCCACTTTCTCACTTGTTTCTCTGCAAGGCCTCTGCATGTGTGCAGTGACCTAGACCCCCATGCTGGCTTCATTTTGTTAATTCAGGGCTTTTTGGGAAGTAAATGAGATATGTCATTACTTATATAGAATACTAGAGGCCTGGTGCATGAAAATTCATGCACTGGAGGGGGACGGTCCCTCAGCTTGGCCTGGTCCCTCAGCCTGGCCTGCTCCCTCAGTCTGGGAGGCAACCCAGAGATTAGGGGAAGGTGGCACCTCCATCACACTTCTGTTGCTGCCACTGCTGGCAGCACAAGCCCTGGTTCCCTGAGCCTCTGGTGGCCCTGGGCGGCTGGAGGGCTGAGAGGACTGGGGGACTCCAGAGGCAGGTGCATGGCAGCCCCGGTGGGGCTGAGAGGACTGGGTGTCACCATCTTGTGGCTGTTGGTGCCACCATCTTTGAGGGGATGGCAGTCAATTAGCATACTCCTTCCTTATTGGTTGTGGGCGCCACCATCTTTGAGGGCGTGACAATCATTTAGCATATTCCCTCCTTATTGGCTGTGGGCACCGCCATATTTGTGATGGCATGAGGGTCAATTAGCATATTCCCTCTTTATTAGATAGGATTATTGAGTAATAGAAACCAAGAGCTATCAGTCAGTATTTTTGATTAGAGATCTTTGAATTTTCTTTGTGAATCGTGTGTAATCAATATAATCTTGGTTGCAAGTGGTGTTGTCAAGTTTCTATCTGGAGAATAAATACTGATCTTGCTATTTTTTAACTTAGTGAGCTGAGCATCTCATTATGCAAATTTAATGAACAGTTTAAACATGCACAATAGGTTATATTTAGTTATAGACATAAATTATGTTAATATAAAATTTAAAATGAGGCTTTTATTAATGTTAATATATCATAAATACAAGATGAGTTATTTATTTTAACTTTTTAAACACTCAGATTTTTACACATCATAACCAATGTTTTAAGGAAATTTGAATTTGATTTAAATTACCAAATTACTTGTGTCTTGAAGAAGAAATGTCTGTAGTTTAGGTTACATCATTCCTTATATTTAGTCTTTATTTTATAATGATCTTTATGAAAAATATTATTAAAATAGTGAAGGAAAGTTACCAGACTTATTAACAAGATAAATGATAGGGTTTGTAATTCTGACTTTTGCTTTAAAAAGAGAGAAAGGAAATCTTCACTTAAATGCTGGAATTTTTCACAGCAGTCAGCTGAGTAGTAGATTAAAAACAGCACAAAATTGAAATTGTATGTGCAGCCTCTGCATTGTTTAAATCACATAGTAAAAGGGCAATAGGAGATGCATTTAACTTTTCAAAATGGAAACTGACTATGTGGGAAAATTCAGCATTATTTTATCCTAGAGAATTCTTTAAATTAGATGAAATAGTGTTCAGAAACTGGAAACAGGACCGCATTTTGTTCATATGGATTTCATTCTGTCCAAGTTTAGAAATGGTGGTGATAAAACTGCTTTTGTCCTTCGACCCACTTTGGGGTGGCTTTCCAAAGGGAATAATCCAAATTGCAGGCAAAGACTGATGCACAAAGATGTTGACTGTGGCATTGTTGATAATTTTGAAAAGCCAGGAGCCA